GTTTCGTGGACGTATACAAAAGCAACGGCATTTATCATTTTGCCAACTGTTTGTTTGATAAGGGGACACACAAAATTAAAAATAAAATACAAAAAAATACTCAGCTAAAAAACGCAAAGCACATAAATAAAAATTAATTGGTGACCAAAAGAAAAACCAAAAAAAAAAAGTGATTGTAAAACTAAGTTAAAAGGCACATAAATATTACTTAAAATATATTTCGAAAGTGGATGTGACCCAAATGAGATAAAGAAAATGCGTAATTTTTAGATGTCTAAGCCAACTCACTTTCCCATTTCCCATTTGTCTCCCCCTCTCTCTCTCTCTCTCCCTCTCTCTCTCTATATATATATATATATATATATATATATATATATCCCTCTCTCTTGGTCTTATCCTTTCCCTAATGAAATGTAGTTCCAGGTTACATAAATATTTTTCACTTCAAACTTTAATTTCAGTTCAAGCTTATATCACTACACCTTTAAGTTGCCTTTTCCCCTCCTCGTTTAGTTTCTTCTTTTTCTCTCCATCTTGCTGCCTGAAGTCTGTTTCGATTGTCTTGCAAAGCTCTTAAGGTTTCATTTCATTAAATTTTATAAGCTTTTCGATTTCATTTCACAACAATTGCAATTCTATTCAAACGGGGGCAACAGAACCATTCGATGTAATGCATCCTTTACTCGAATATTTACTTTTACAATTGTTAATCTAATTCAACTGTGGCTTTCTCTCCATTCAACTTTCACTCTCTCTCTGGTCTGTCAGACGCCATAACAATAAGTATCAGAATACTCGTTACGGCCAGACAGATGCCAAATTGTAGCTGTAAATGTGCTGCCAATTGATGGAGCTACCCGCCATAAAAACAACTTGAAATCGCTGTATAAATAAATACTTAAACGGAATTCAATAGGTTAAGGCTGTATTTTAATTTGCCGTGTTGTGAATCGTGTCTATGAAACACATCATATTTAGTTGGCTTGAGAAATGAGAATAAACATTGTTGTTAAGTATTTTTAAAGATCATGAGAATCGCATTGAAAGACGATACCCAATCGATATTTGAGACGAAGAGAGTGTACTGGTAGAAGTAAGGGAAGAGATAGCGAGAGAGAGAGAGAGAGAGAGAGAGAAAGAGAGAGAGAGTTGCATATAGCCTGATACAGATGGGAAGAGCTTGAGAAAGCAGTGTAATAATGAGACTCATGCAACCATTCTTGTGCGAAATTCACATAAAATGGCGATATTTAGATGACGGACTTAAAGAGAGTGGTAGAGTTACATAACGTTGATATTGATTTAGGGAGACATGAGCGATGAATTCTCCTGCTTGTAATACTGATTAAAGGTAACTTAATTATACCCTTCCAACCCATTTAATATTATAATACAATAGTTCTTCAAAATTAAATAACGTATTAAATCATATAAAAAAGCAAATAAACGCATTACGCATAATTTTTCAGAAATTACCAACACTCATAAATTGAATATGTGAAGAGGAAAAGCTGAAAAGAAGGCACCAAAAAAATATAATGGGAAAATAAAAAAAAAGGGCAGGAAATTTAAATTACCTGTGCCGTAATTACACAAAAGAATATGCCAATAAAAATGACTTATGTATCAATTTCCTTTACGACGACTCCACAGGACGAAAACGACAACGATGATAATAATAAAAGGCAGCTACAACAACAACAACAACAACAACAAGCGCAACAAGAGTGGCAACAACAACAACAACGACAACAGTGGCAACGCCGTGCACAAAGCGAAAATTTCAATTTTATTTTTATTGCCTTATTGTGTATCAAATATTTACAATTATTTGCCATGAGCCATTCGGCCAGACGGGGAGAGGCTGGGCTGGCGGCCTGAGGAGGCGATGGGCGTGTGCATGCTGATAAATTCAAATAAACTGTGCAGTGTAACCAAGGTGAAAATGATAGCGCCTGCCCACGCCCACCCTTGACGCCGCCCTCGTCCACGTCCTAAGCAGTCAGCAGCCAAAAGCAGCAGCAGCAGCAGCAGCAGCAGCAAAAGTTTTCGATCAAAAAGCGACAGAAAATTGCATGGAAAATGTGAAATGGAAAATGGCTTTGGTTGTGGCTCAGACTCTGGCCTAAATGGAGGCGCAGCGCCGTGCCGTTTTTGCGTGGCATTAAAATTTTATTTTAATGTCATCGAGACGTTGATTTACAGCAGTCACTGTGCGAGACTGCGAGTCGGCCAGAATAGGAGAGATACCTGGAGAAAGCGAGAGCGAGCTAGAAGGCATTGTGGTGCATCAGCCGAATATAATTTTATTCAAATAATATTTTATTGCGTCGAAAAGGTGGTAATAGCGCGTAAAATGCCAAAGTCAATGCCGAGGCAGAGGCTGAAGCCTCGCACTCACATCCGCATTCACAACCGCATTAAATAACTGAACTGTGGCTTCTTTCCCTGATCTCTTCTCTTCTGTCTACACATCTTTTCCATATTCCAGATCTTTTATATTTGCTTACTTTCTAGATTTGATTGATAGGTAGTATACAAATCTTGACATATACCGTTGTTCAGTATAAAAAACTGTGTGTACTGCTGAATTAACTTATCTAACGAGAATAACGCAAAGGTCGTCTACTATTTGTCATAAATGCAAATCGTTTGCCTTGCTTTTCTTTAAGATTATAGCACCTGTATTTGGAATATAGCCCAATTCCATTTAGTACGAAGCGCCCACTAACACAGGTTTATCAGCCTAGCTCGTACAGTGTTGACTATCAATTAACTTGTTATGTTAGCTGCGCAAAAACAAAGCAAAAGGCGCAACAAATAGCGCTAATAAGTCAATAAATCCATTTAGGCCAGAGCCAAGAGGAACAACATGTATCCCGAGCCCCTCTGCTCCCTACGAAATGGGGAACAAATGGCAGTCAAAGGCAGGTGAAAAACTTTTGCCGGTTGCCACTTAACCGTTCAATTTGGGGTTCCGACCTTTGGAGCTGCTATCTTAGTCAGCTTGTTTTGCGCACCCCAGTGCTCTGCAGCCCCTGTGCCTGATGTCCTGTGTATGTGTGTGTGTGTGTCGTGCTCCTTTCCTTCCCGTTCCGCTCTATTTGCTGCTACCACGTTTTTTGGTGCAAAGTTTTTGCGGCTTTTTCAATATTTTATGAGTCAAGCTTTTGCGTTAACACCTTAAGTACGCAGGGCATTGCGGTTAAAGGGGGATGGGGCTGATAGGGAGGACATATTCCAAGGGGCGCACATTCAGTTTGCCACATGTGTGTGTGTGTGTGTGATTGTGTGTGTGTGGCAGGAAATAACGCGCAAGTTGTAAGTTTTAACTAGCAGCAAACAACTTTTGTCGAGGCTGCCAGGCAGTGGATCGGTTGGAATAGGGTCGGGATGGCGTGGGAGGGCGGTTGCGAGGGTGCACAACGACTGTGGCGCCTGTTGAACGAACTGTTGCTGTTGTTTTTGCTGCGGTCGAAATAAAGCATCGAATATTGCACACACACTCACACACACACACACACACACACACAGAAAAAGCAGCCACACATATATTGTAAACGTCGACAACGATTTATTTGGCAACCAACTTAAGTGCGCCCAAAACGCGCGCGCCTCTACACAGTGCTGGCCCACGTCGCTGCCAGCCACGCCCACGCGCCCACACACACACGCGCACACAAACACACACGCTTGTGACTGTTTTGTTTGTGTGCGGCATTTTTGGCGTCGCTAACTCAATGAGCTGAAATTAAACAATGCAAAAGATTAAGTGCAGATTTGGGACTTTATCTGCCTGTGCCATAAATTGGTATTTAAGGGATACCTCACAAATGTCTATAACACACACACACACATGCTTAGAGTGGGAAGGGGGTCGTTTAGCTGCTGCGCCTTGAAGTATGCAGCCAAAGTTTGTGGTTGCTGCCAACAGGCGAGACAATAGATCAGCGCCCACACATAAGCTAAACTCCTATTGCCGTCCACTGTCTATATCTCCACCTGTTTCCCCCCGTATCTCTCTCTCTCTCTCTCTCGCACTCGCTTTGTGCCCCACTCTCAGTTGCTGTTCTAGCCCAAAAAAGTGCGCCGCAAACTTTTGTTGTTTACCAATAAACAGAAGCTGCCACCTGCAGCTAGCGAGGAGCGTCTCGAGAAGGTGGCAGGTGAGTGGGAAGCACATGAAGTGGCACTAACTAAGCATAGTTTGGGGTATTCAACATGCACAAGATTAATTGCAATCGGTGTTCTGGCATATGTTTTTAGTGTACCCCAAACTCACTTAGCTTTTGCTTGGCAGAGTTTCTTTTGTGCATTGTTCGGCAAGTTTTTCGCTTTAGATCGAGGCAGACGTCTCGAGGCAGGAGGTCGGTGAGGTGGCGTTGCTGGAGTGAGTGCACTTGGCACTGGGTTCGGTAATTAGGCAACTATTTATGGGCAGAGCACACGCCGTTGCAGCCAACGAGACCAAATAAAACACATGTTTCCACGAAGTTTCGATTGAAATGAAGCACGTAAATATCAGGGTTAGGTTAGTTTTAGTTAGGTTAGACTCGACTTGGAATATTCTATGCAGGTAGGAATATTGTAAATGCGATAAGTAAAGAATATATTGACTACATTTAAAAGTTGAAAGCCTCATCTGGCGTAGATATGCATCTAAATCTGATTATAGCCAGCTAAAAAGCGTCTATCATATTTGAATAAAGCACCTTTAAAGATAATTTCATTATACCTGCAAACCACTTATAGGAAGTAGTATAGGAAGGATCTAGCTGTGCCAATCCCAAGACAATGCAAACATTTGCTTTATAACAGAGTCTAGCTTAAAGCATTTGCTTCTAAAAAGATATTCCTTGAGATCTGAGGGACATCTACACAAAAAGCATACATTTTTTTCTTTTGCGGTGCAACAAGAATCTAAAGCTGTTCAGTCGCAGGTTTATTTATGAGTTAAACTTGAATCGCAAGTGCAATATGTTTAATTTATGAATAAATACCTTTTATTTTAAAGCGCAACTGTTATTTACCGACCAGCTCGCATTATATAACTATGTTCTTTTGACCGAGTCTGTTTCGCCCATTTTCCCCAGTTCAAAGCTGATTAAACAGTACATGTTGAGTATCTCGCATTCGGTTCCTTCGTCTATTATGCTTCCTGTTTCTTACTAAATTCTATTATTTTCAATACCAAACATACAAATGTTGATAGCATATTGTTCAAGGTTTACTCATTTATCAGTCTTTAAATAAGTGTATTTTTCTGTCTAACACACACACACACACACACACACACACACGAAGTAAACTGTTCCATTGGCAACAAAGCCAGTCCGATCTGAGGCCTTAATTCGATTGCCTTATTGTGGGAAGGGGGTTGGACTTATGATGGTTATAGTGGTAGTGGGCACGGGGGCGCATCTATACGGTGTTTTGCGATGTCTTAATGGCATAATCACAGGATACCAAGACACAACACAAATACACACAATTGGCCATATGTGGCATGGCAACGCACGAACAGATGGGCAGCAGGATACACTCACACACCACACCACACCACGCCCCTGCCCCTGCCCAATGGTGCCCCAGCATCAACACCATATCACTTTGATTACTTTATTATTGGTAGCAGGCATGCTGCCTATATGCCTTACCTTGCGCCTGGCCAGATCCTGCCTGGCACTCAGAATGATTGTGGAGCTGCTGCTGTTGTTTTTGTTGTTGTTGTTGTTGTTGTTGTTGCTGTTGCTGCTGCCTTGCCTCATTGTCGGCATTTTCCCCGTGTTGTACACTTTTGCCACTTTTCTTATTAGAAGCAATCATATACGTATATACGTGGCGGGCTAAGCCCTCATTACTCGACTCTCTCACTCCGGAGCTCAGGTCTTTCTTTCTCTTTCTGTGTGTAAAAATAAATCATTTTTCTGTTTTTGTTGTTGATTTATGCCTTTGTTCGATGTGTTTGCTACTTGTGCCCATCTTTGTCTCTTACCCAGTCACTCTCTCACGCGCACGCCGTCTGCTTCGTCTGCCCGTCTCTTTCCCGCCAGCACCACCATTTGCTGCACTTTGGCTGCTGTTGATAATGAGCCAAATCATTTTTCGTGAGATAAATTTCCGACTCGCTGCCATATAAGTAGCTGCAAAACTTATGTTTGCGACCCACCACCACCACCACCGGAATCGCCACCAACGTCACCACTAGGCTAGTGGCTTCGCTTTGTCTGGCAAGTCATCAGAGGAGTACCCCGACCCGTCCTCGGCGCAGAATCCTCACCTCGGCGCGACTTTGCCGTCGACAACTTCGAGTTTGGCGCGCTCCTTGAAAGCGTTATAAATCATTGACATGATTAAGCGACGGCACGACACGACATGCTTTTGTTGTAGACCAGTTGAGAATTATTGTTGTTGCGTGTGCTTGTGTGTCTGTGTGTGTGCGTGTGTGTGTGTGTCTGGCTGGCTCCTTTACTCCCCTTTGATTGTTGTGCATGTGGAGCGAGCGATGGAATAAAATGATAATTTAATATCGAAAATTGTTTTTATTGAGTTGATTGCAACGATCGGAATGAGCTGTAACTATGGTGTATATATCTATGTGAGTGTGTGTCTTTAGTTTTTTTTTTTGCTTGTGGCTTGGAGGTGAAAATATTCCTCAGATGCTGAAGAGCCGGGCCAAACGTATACCCGATTTGCTGATAGCGCTAAGGCCTACGTAACTAATCTCACCGCCCCACATACAACACATTTCCCACGGAATTACCGCAAAGTATTACTCGGCGGGGAGGAGTTGCCTATTTTGTATGTACATATGTATGTATGCATGTATGTTTGCATGTATGCATGCGTGTTTGTATATATGTATGTATGTATGTATTTATTTATATGTATATGTGTATATTTGTATGAATGTATGTATACAAACATATGCATATATATATATATATATATATATATATATATATATATATATATATATATATATATATATATATATATATATATCTGTATATATTTTTCACTGTATGTGCTGTATATGTGTTGTATATGTTCGTATGAATGTGTGTCTCAATGTAAGAATTTATGTATGCTTCTTTGTAAATATGCATGTGTGTTAGTAATGCAATTATATATGTTAATAAATGTGTGCATATAATAGTATGCAAGATCAACTTTACCCGTAGCTGAGCTGCAAATTGAAAAATAAGTACTCTTTACTAATGCCTTACCATGCGATTCTCATGAATTCAAGTAGGCTTCATATGCTTCATTTGAATAGTGAAGGTGGCAGCAGCTTTTATACTGAAGGAAGCGGCTTCAAACATGGAGGATGCAATGGGGACTTGAGCAACGGATGAGGAGGCAGCTTTATCTATGGAGACGGCAGCAACTTGAGCAAAGAATGAAGAGCCGGCTTTGACTATAGAGGAGGCGGCAGCTCAAATATAAAGGAGGAAACGGCACCTTCAGCAAAGGAGGAGGCGATTTATCATGGGGAGGAGACAGCGGCTTCCGTGTGGGTGAGTATATGTGTGTGTATGCTAGCTTGTTAAGGCAAAGCTACAGATAAGGTAAATTCCCTATCAAAATCAGTTGAATTCTTGATATATCAGATATATTATTTTTTATTGCTCTCTCTTAAATTAATTGAGCTACATGTGTCTTGCGTATGTGACGTATTTGCCATCGCACTGATTTCTATTTTAAGTCCAGGATTCAATAAATGGCTTTTGAAAAGAAATGGCTTTCTGGATATGGCAATCAAGTGCCGTTTACAAATTGTCTTTGTTTATTTTTTTAAATTTAATAATCAGCTTTTAAGCTAGAGTTCTGTTTGAATATGCAGAAGAAGCTTTTTATGTTTCACTTTATTACTTAAGTATCGCAACATTATCTGCCCAACAATAGAGCAAAGAATATTGTTAGCTTGAATATTTCTGGAAATGTAAAATTATAAATGTTTGTAAATTTGTATATTTTTTAACAAGCTATGGTTGGAGTATGCAGGATATTAACTGGTTTACTTCAAAGGATCACCAAACAGCCGCTTTTTAGGCTTTCATTTTGGCGTCTTACATAACTTGATGTGGACTTAACGGAGAGCAGAGTGCAGAGTGCCCAATACAATAATATATTTTACGCTGTGCCTGCCTTTGCGCTCTTGTTAATCCTTCCCCCGCCCCGTCCCCTCAAACCCCTTGTCAACTTGAGCACAAACACACATCAAACATATTTATATGTGTACTTTAGGAAACTTTGCTAATATGTTAAAACTGTTCATTGACACCAAAAAATGAGCAAAAACCTAGCGAGCGGGAGAAGTGCTGCGCGGATTGGGGGTAGCTGCGAACTAGGGGCAGGCAGTCGAGTGTTTGGCAAAAAAAAAGAAACAAAAAAAGCCAAGCAAAGCTCAAGTGTCAGCGAGTGTAATACTGCATGTGTATGCACGTGTGTGTGTTTGAGTTTTGCTTGCAAGTTGTCGGAGCGCAGGCCGACACTCATATGAGGCGCTGCCGCTGCTGTTGCCGACTGTTTGCAGTGTTGGAAAACACAAACAAAAACTGTGAGCTTATTAAACGGCAGATTTCTCATTCCAATTTTGTTCGCCATTTGCCATTCGCTATTCGCCATTTGCATTTGCTGGCAGGCTCTAGACAAATAGCGCAAATAGAAATAAAACTGACGCTACATATAGAGTAGGAACCCGAGCGAAAAACTTTTGCCGCTATGCAATATTAACTGCTAATTATGGAAGCGCAGCCGTGAAGCGCTATTGCAGCTAACACCGACCCAGTTCTCACTCCCTTTGCCTCTCTCTCTCTCTCTCACTCTCTCACTCTCTCATACTCTGGCTGTCTGGTAGGGTCTATAAGGCCGAACTCTATTGCCCTGTGGCAGTCTGTCAATATTTGTGGAAACACTTTCTGATAGGCAAATGGTTTTTGAATATGCCAAAAAGTTATGCAATTGCAATTGCTTTTCCGAAAACGGCGCCCGGCAACACGGGGCCCCCACTATTTTATTAGAAAACTTTTCCAAATAGCGCGTCTGAAAAATGGGAAAATGCAGCGTAAAACGTGAGGCTGCAAAAGGAATTGTGAATTGCTCTCTGGAGAAGCAGTTTAGTTGCCAATGTTTGACTTTATGCGCTATTTTTAATATTTATTATGACTGATTGTGGTCACAATTTTCCATTTTTCCACAATCTAATTCACCCAACCCCCCATCCCCTAGTCCCCCGCCACGCTAAGAGCTTGTTTGCTTTAGCAGAGGCCGCAATATGAATGGCATAAAAAATGTTTAGACAGGGGCTGGCTGCATTCACGCATTATAATTTAAGTGAAACATAAATATTGATGTAATAAATTAATTTTTGCTGAATTGAAAGATAGAGCGTTCTATAGAGACGTCCACAGTTAGCTGCTCTAACGAAAGCCCACTCCGCGCCTGATTGGAAGCGGGGAGTAAGTCTTCAAAAATGTATGCCACATGAGCGGGGCGGTTGGTGGTGTGATGGTGTTTTTTTTTCGTTTTTGTTTTGAAATGTTATGATGAAGAAGACGCTTGCCTAAGCCATTTTACATGCATTTCTTAAAAATGTCCTTAATTTAATGTGAATTATTTGTGGCATTGACTTATTTTGGAATTTCATTTGAGGTTTTTAAGAAAGTTAAGTAAAGTGAAGCTATAATCTTATATTATACTTAAGAAGACAGTTGCTATTATTTATATATACATTTCGATTTCAAAAATATATTCGTTGTATTGTCTATATTAGTTCATCAGATATCCCATATCTATCATATCCACGTTCTTCAGTGCTTGCGATCTTCGTTTTTTCGCTTTATACTATATTTTTTTGTTGTGTCCTTTTTTGATTGTTTGTGTTGATCATCATTTCTATTTTCTTTAATAAAAGTTTTTAGCTATTTATCATTTAAGGCTCTTGTACATTTTTTGGTTTTAGCAAAGGTATCTACAGGACGATCAACTTGGAGTACACATGCTCTACCCTACTCTCTCTCTCTCTCTACTTCTCGCTCGCGCATTTTTCATGTCTGCGACTTCCGGCAATCGTCCTTGTCTAATACGAATGTCTACACTCTGTCTATGCAGTTTGTTTTCATTGTCTTTGGTGACCCCCTCGGCCACGTCCACCTGGTGGCATTCGGTTTACTGTTACCTCG